GTTTTGTTTTTGTTTTTACTGATGGGGGGTGGGGGGTGTGGCTTATAGTCTGGTGCGGCTTATACGTTGATGTTCGCGCCTTTTTTTTAAAAAAATGGCGGGTGCGGCTTATAGTCTGGTGCGGCTTATAGTCCGAAAAATACGGTACAAGAAAATCGACATATGTTGTTATCACGAAATAACGACAAGCGTTTGAGTTAATTTCCCTTTTTTTTAAATAACGAGTTATAATTTTCCTCTTGTGCATCATTTGGTAACCAGACATGGATTACTTAAGTGTAAACGCTTGCTGAGCCGCAGTCAGGCCGGCAGTCTCCTTAAATTACAAGGGTTGATTTGAAAGACATCTGTACAAGACAAACAAACTGAAATTTCAGCCTGTGTAATGATGGTAAACTTTATCGATGACCAGCTGAAGCGACCAGTGTGTCTCGATGATTTCCAAATGAAGCCAAAGAGGAAAAACAATTCATCTTGAAAAAACCACCAGGAAATTAACTTATCTCGAGAAAACGCTCATCGTTATTTCGTGATAACATAATACATGGTTATCACGAGAGAACCATGGAAAAAAGATTATATACGGAAAACGTCCAATCTCAGCTTCCGTACAGACCGCTCCTATCTCAAATCTGTGATATTCAAAATGTTGGATTTTCATGGCCTGATATCCCAGCGTGTGGTGTTCCCTGAGAACAAACAAGCTTGTGTATCCAATCAGAAAGCGAGGTGACAGAAACACGAGCTGTTTACATGCACAAAATTCTTTGATTGGATTAAAATGTATTCGGACTAAATAATCCGAATACATCGTTTACATGGGCCCAATCCGACATTGACGAGTGTTTACACGCACCAGGCTTTTATTCTGAATAGAAGCTCTGACAYGCGCAGTTGTTAACTTTCCCTTAAAAAAAAAACACAGAAGAAGTTCTACTTCTGTGATGAACACAAACAAACAGCTTCTGAGCTCAGAATGGACCTGCGACAGGTTTTAATAACGGTGGAGACGTTACTGCACCCCCTGGTTGAGCTGCAGATGAAGCGATATGTGCGGTGGGGTTTTGGGGGGGCGGTGGTGATGCAGCGCAGGCTCCACAAAAGAGCAGAAACCGCTGGATGAAAGTCAGCAGACAGTCAGGTCAGTTTTCCACAATCAGAATAAAATGATCAGATTAAGTGTTTACATGCACGCCGTTTGGATTATCACTCGGCATAAACCACCTCTCTCTCATTGTGATTACAAATTCATTCAGATTGAGCTGAATCGGTTCAGAATAATACGAATGTGGTGTTTATATGACGCATTTTTATTCCAAATGGCTGTTTAAAGGAGACATATCATACTAAATGCACTTTTTTTGCATTTATAAACTATTTTTTGTGCAATTATAGTGTCTAGGAGTGTAGAAAACTTTAACTTATTCTGTCCAGTTACTGCAAAGATATTTTTATATTTTTTATGGGTCAAATTTTTCATATGTGTTTATGTATATGTGCATTGGTATATTACTATATATCACGTGTATATTGTGGGGTTTTGTTTATCTTTTTAAATCTTTCATTATTCTTCTCAGCCTCTCTTGTATGAAGCTGCAATAATGTGCAAATTTCCAGACTGTGGGATCAATAAAGTTTTACCTTATCTTATTTTATCTTAAAAACAGTTTTTAGTCA